AGCTCCTCACTTCTTCTCCGTGCACCGCGCACACCCCTCTCCTCACTTCTCCGTGCACAGAATCTCCACAGCTCTTTATACTGTGTTTCTGTATAATAAGATGCTTTTATAACCATCAAATAGTTCTTGAGGAGTGGACTGTTTCAGATGGAGCACTACTGAAACTGAACCTAGCTGTGAAATGCACACTCCACCACTGAATTTCATACTCCTATATCTACTGCACATGTCCAACCACGAAGTAAAATGATAAACTTCACGTGGTCCAGCTCTGGTAATTAAAAGTAGTGAGAGGAGGTGAGAGCGTGCACGTACTGTCTGCTGGAGCTGCTGTGGCGCTCCAAATCATTTCAGCTGGATTCTCTTTTTGCCGAAAGCAGCAGCACAGCAGAGCTCGGCTGCTCAAAGATAAAGGGCTGCAGTCGCTCTGGCGTCCAGTAAAAACAGAATCCGAACTGAATGAATCTGGCGCTCCACAGCACCTCTGCCTGCACCGCCTCCTGCACCACCCGAGCTCTGAATTCTTCTGATGTTTTTAATTATACAGAAAATGTATAATACGTGCAGTGTGAGGCCGGGGTGAACCTAAACATAATCACTGCAGGCTAATCCTTGGACTACTCTCTCTAAATGTTCCTAGATGAGAAGAAGATTATCTTAAAATATAAATGAATTCAAACAGCACATACAACTAAATGTGTATTCTGTGTATTTTCTAAAGGTCATTACATTACACTCTGTGCTCTTCTCATAATTAACCCAGTGTAGAGTGCGTGTAGCGGAGAGGGCCTCTGGGTGCTCCTGGCTCTCTGTAATTGGATTTTTCTTTTGCATTTTAAAGAGGATTATGAGCTGTGGATTAAACTCTATACGTATTCAGATAAACGTAGTGTTTTGTTTATCCTTTAGTGACTATTTGTGCTTTAAAAATACAGGACTATAATTTAAACAGGACTGGAATAATAACAACTCAGTCCTATAAGAGCCTGAGCATAGTGACCATTTCATAGTGCCAGAGAGTGAACCTGTGACCCTGTGGTTTAAACACGTGCTGTATCCACTACACTACTACTGCTGCCGCCGCCGCCGCCGCTGTGTATACAGAACATCTGGAGCTCTGAAGCTGTTGGTTTCATGTCAAGTTTAAATGTCCTGTGTCGAGGAGAAAATTCAGTTTGTCGACTGGACAAAAGTTAGTTTGGTTGAAGATGTTTTGCAGTTCATCCAAGCTGCTTCTTCAGTTCTGGTCAGATGCCGGTGGACACTTCCTTATATCTGTCTGTCTGAACTAGAAGTAGGTGGTAAACAGATTTCCAGCAGTTGGCAGATTTGATCAGGTGACAGTTTAGTTCTCTCTTCTAGTTTGGTATCCTGCAGCAGTCTCTTCCCTGCTGCCTCCACTACTGATGTACAGCCACAAGTGAAAAGAGATGTCACATCAAAGAAAACCATTGTCTCGTCCTATATTGTGCATAACTGATTGTTGTGAGCTTTAAGTCATGTTAAAATGTTGTTACATTCTCAGAAACAGACCTGGACTTGTGTTTTGTTTCATTCACACATGTTTGAGTAAAGTTTATTATGAGTCTGTCTACATCTCCAAAGCTCCAAATGCTCTGTTCCACCTTGTGATGTCATGAAGTGGTAGTTTTCAAGTTTTCAAGTCAGCTACCTTTTACATTTAGTTCAGTAGAAATTGGTGATTCCAGGACTGAAATGATCCAAATTATTATCACCACATGACATCACAAGGTGGAACAGAGTGTTTTAAGTTTGAGAGAAGAACTCTTAACGCCTAAATGTGCAGGATTTGTGTGTTAAACATGAGTGAACGAAACAAAACACAACTCCAGGTCTGTTTGTGATGAAGAAACTACATAAGAGAAAATAGATCATGTAGGCTCTTTATATGATGTCAGATGTGATGAGGGGTTTTAATTTAATTCTAAGCAGGATTCAAACTTTTCATTGCGTTTCATTACTATTCCCATTATACTACAAGACAAGACTTACCTTACCTCTTGTGCATCCCTTTAAAAACTGTACATTGATAAAGAACACAACAATATTTTTATGCAGGACGGATTTTTGTCCAACTTGTTTATAGCAGTGTCTTAATTTAGTTCTGCCCTAATCATACTTACCACATATTATATAATATTTTGAAATTTTAACCCCTTAAATGCCCTTTTTGACTAGTCTGATTCATCAGCCGGTTTTACTTCATTTCAATTTGTAGAAACCGTGTGACCTCGCAGTGTTAGGATTCATTTGCTCGATGATAGACGGGTACTTTTTATCATTTAACCAATCACTGCTATTTTGTCATGACTTATGTAATGCGCCGCTAACGGGTTTAACTGGTATATTAAGCTTTTCCCAAATCCCGTAGGGAGAAGGTCAATAACATCTTTCCCCTTGATAAAATTCACCAAACATTCTCTTTGTTCCAGCTTTAAATCCTTGATCTCGGGAATCACTGACAACACAGAATGTCTGTCTCTTCACTGATTGGCTGGTGCCTGAACTTACACTTCCAGGGTTTTTGCAAAAAGATTAGAGTATTCTGATTCCTGACCTAATCGCTGGAGAGACATGAAATAGAGTGGAGGCACTAGGTGGCACCAGCCTGACTAGGAAACAGGAATTGCCCAGAGGAACCCCCCCCCAGACACAGAGAGAACACACCAAACTTCATACTGAAAGGCTGTGAATTGAACCCTGAACCTTCTTGCTGCTTATATATTTATTCCATACTGGCTCAGACTGGTCATCTGTACTACCGGGAAAATACCTGGCGGGCCGGTGTCCTGTCAAAATGACCTACCTGTCGATTTGAGCTACCTAGTTGTACTGTGCATGCGTACATACAACCCCAAAGCTCTGTTACACTTTAAATGGGGTCGATTTGAGCTGAGGCAGAAGTTTGCAGCAGAATATCTATGTTAGATGACTGAATAGTTTGAATTCATTATCATTTTCATTGCATCATATTTTATTTTGTTTCTGTGTGTCACCAAAAGTCTCAAATTATGTGCATGAACAAAATGAAGAAATGTGATTTTTTTCTGCATCTTTCAAATGATTTTAATTAGTTCGTGTTGGGATTATCAGAGGCTGAGGACTCTTCTAGAACACACTCATATAATTTTAACCTCAAATATCTGCGTCTGTGTCCTTCAGTGTGGACTTATATGTACAAATGTCTTTATTGATGTAATCTTGTAATGGAAGATACACACGGAAAAAAAAATCAAAAATCAAAAGGACACTAAAACAAAACAAAACCAAAAATAAATACATTTAAAATAAATAAATTTAAAATAAATAAATAAATAAATACAATGAAGAGTTTTCAACCAAGTAATGAAAAATAATTCAAAAAGTAAAACTATACTGGCAAAGTTATGCATTTTGAATGAAAGTCAGTGGAACAAAAATGTACCTAAGGACCATGGGTGTGAGGATTTTGATTATAGACCGAAACACAGAAAACACAGAAATTAAAAATACATCACAAAATACACAAACTGGACCAATTTTGGTGCTATCTGGTGCAATATAGCCAAAGATATGCAAAAAAGACAAGTGTGTGTGTGATTTTTTTTTCCATGTATTTGCAAAACATCTCTTACCCCAGTCCAGGTATTATAGAAGCAGCTCTTGAGGTGAAAGTCTGAGATTCAGGAAGTACACGCTTAGCTTGCTACTTTTACCAGGATTCACTCTGGAAGTTGTGAAAAGCTCTTCTAAACTTGTTGTGGTGAATAATGAGGCTGTTCTGAACACATAAGTTGAGTGAGGAATGAGTTTGGAGCACTGCAAATGGTTCCAAATGAACTACTTCAGTTTTCCATGTTTTTAAGACAGAGTAGGTTGTGTATAAAATGTGTTCTGCGTTACTGTGGAAAGCTCTAATCAAAAGTGGTTATGGAGGCAAGACTGTGCATGGCCTTGAAAGTGAACTGGAGACTTTGAAAATGCAGTTCTGAATTTAATGAGAAGACAGAACGAGGCTCTGGTGATTGTGCGGGGAGCTGAGTTCTGGACCAGTTTTGCTGTAGGGCTGCAAGAACTGAAATTTGAATCTGCTTCATCTGTATGACGTTATTTTCTGATCTGTGTTATGATGTAGTTTCCTACGGAAGCCGAGAGGGGTCACAACAAACATTAACGCCGCAACAAATACAAATGCGACAACACAACAAAAAGCCACAACAAACCAAAAAAAGCCACAACGGAAATGACCGCAGGACTCTATTTTAATGCAAACTCCGTGACAAATACAAACGCCACAACACAAACGCAAATGCCGCAACACATTAAAAAGCCGCAACACATCAAAAAAAGCCACAACGGAAATGACCGCAGGACTCTATTTTAATGCAAACTCCGTGACAAATACAAACGCCACAACACAAACGCAAATGCCACAACACATTAAAAAGTCACATAAAAAAGCCACAACACATTAAAAAGCCACAACAGAAGTGACCGCGGGACTCTATTTTCTGACAGACCGATCAAGCGGCAAGTGAAGAAGAAGAACTACAACGTGAAACGAATAATGATAAAACAGTAAATTACGTTTCCAACTTCTCCATTCTTTTACTTTTCATGTTTTAGTTTTTCTTCTTCACTTACAGCTTGATCGGTCCGTCGGAAAATAGAGTCCCGCGGTCACTTCCGTTGTGACTTTTTAATGTGTTGTGGATTTTTTATGTGTTGTGGCATTTTGATGTTTTGTGGCTTTTTGATGTGTTGCGGCATTTGAGTTTGTGTTATGGCATTTGTATTTGTTGCGGCGTTTGCATTAAAATAGAGTCCTGCGGTCATTTCCATTGTGGCTTTTTTTGGTTTGTTGTGTTGTCGCATTTGTATTTGTTGCAGCGTTTGCATTTGTTGTGACCCCTCTCGGCTTCCGTAGTTTCCTCATCACAAACAAACCTGGAGTTGTGTTTGTTTCATTCACACAAACCTTGCATATTTGGGCTCTTGAGTTCTTATCTCAAACTGAAAACAGTCTGTTGCACCTTGTGATGTCATGTGGTAATACAGGAAGTGCTCCACTGTGTTCTCCACACACTTTTACTAGAATCATTTGGATCATTTCAGCCCTGGAACTGCAGATCCCTAATGAAGTAAAACTAGTAGGTTAATTAGAAAACTGCAGCTTCATGACATCACAAGGTGGAACAGAGCATTATGAGCTTTGGAGATGTAGACAGACTAAACTAAACTATAAAGTAAACTATAAAGAGTTACTCAAACATGTGTGAATGAGGCAAAGGAGAAATTCAACAAGCAGCTGCAAAAACCTATTCAACAAAAAAAAAACAAAAAAAAACTTTTGTCCAGTTGACAAGTTGAATTTCTCCTTTGTCATGGATTCTACCTGGGTGATTGAGAGATTCTACAAACATGTGTGACTGAAACAAAACACAACTCCAGGTATGTTTTGGAGGAGGTAACAACATTCTAAACATAGACATTTTTTTTTTTTTCAATTTTGCACAATATAGACCCTCAAAGTACCATCATTTCCTCCACAAACAACAAAATGTCCTGTCTTATTGTGTCCAAAAGCTGCTAACCCTGTAGTTTAGATCTACAAACATGTTCTGATATGTGAACTATATATGTCAGTATATCAGAGGTTTATTTCCTCTTCATATTCTTCTCCCATAAACTTTATGAAAATTCATATTAAAGTTTCAAAGTTTGCTCGGGGCAAATGGGCTCTGTGTTAACTAATGACCACAAGAGCATCATTCTTTTTGTTAAATCTGTTTCTGAAATTTTTATAAATCTCAAAGTTATTAAAGGATTTTTGCAGAATCTTGCGTTTTAGATGAGCTTCTAGGTCTTCACCACAACTGATGAACCTGCGGGAAAAATAAATGAGACATTTAGCGGAGTGGACTCTGAAGTGCACCACCGAGCTCTACGGGAAAAGTTTACAACAGAGACTTATGATAAGAAAAGATGAGCAAAGTGCGGCAGGTGAGGCAGGAGCAGAGTGAGGCAGGGACAGAGTGAGGCAGGAGCAGAAGGAGGCAGGTGCAGAGTGAGGCAGGTGCAGAAGGAGGCAGGTGCAGAGTGAGGCAGGTGCAGTTTGAGACAGGGGCAGGTGCAGAGTGAGGCAGGTGCAGTTTGAGGCAGGTGGCAGGTTTGAGGCAGGTGCAGAGTGAGGCAGGTGCAGTTTTGAGGCAGGTGCAGAGTGAGGCAGGTGCAGAGTGAGGCAGGTGCAGAGAGGAGGCAGGTGCAGGTTGCAGAGTGAGGCAGGTGCAGTGAGGCAGGTTTGAGGCAGGTGCAGAGTGAGGCAGGTGCAGAGTGAGGCAGGTGCAGTTTGAGGCAGGTGCAGAGTGAGGCAGGTGCAGAGTGAGGCAGGTGCAGAGTGCAGTTTGAGGCAGGTGCAGAGTGAGGCAGGTGCAGGAGGCAGGTGCAGAGTGAGGCAGGTGCAGAGTGAGGCAGGTGCAGAGTGAGGCAGGTGCAGAAATATACTGCTTAGATGATAGTTCAATGAAAAAAGGGGGTATGATGCAAAACAGATTTTTTTGAACTTTGTACTTTACCTTTTGTGTTTTTATAAAGTTGTTCTCATCACAAACATGTCTGCAGAGGTTTTTGACATCGTCTATACATGTTACTCTAGTCATCTCTCTCAGGCCATATTCAAACCCTCCTGAGTTAGCAGTACAACTCTGTGCAAGGCTCCGCCCCCAAGCCTCCATCACCCAAACTCCCACACGACAAGTCTCCAGAAATATACAATAATATACAAAACTGTACACAACAACTTCACAAACGACTGCCACGTGCAGGAGTTTCATTAGCAGGTGCACGCTGATTATATTATGAGGAATCTGAAGGGGGAGTGACTTAACGCGGGGAGCAAAGGGAGGGGAGACTCAGAGCATAATGAAAGTGAAAACTTATAAAACATCATTTCTTTTTCTTATTTTTTTTTTTTAGCTTAATGCCTCTTTACATTTACCCTTCACATAAAGACTAAACTCTGCTCCTCTGTGTGTGTGTGTGCGTGTGTGCGTGTGTGTGCGTGTGTGTGTGTGTGTGTGTGCGTGCGTGTGTGTGTGTGTGTGTGTGTGTGCGTGCGTGTGTGTGTGTGTGTGCGTGTGTGCGTGCGTGTGTGTGTGTGTGTGTGTGTGTGCGTGTGTATGTGTGTGTGTGTGTGTGTGTGTGTGTGCGTGTGTGCGTGTGTGTGTGTGTGTGTGCGTGTGTGTGTGTGTGCGTGTGTGTGTGCGTGTGTGCGTGTGTGTGTGTGTGTGTGTGTGTGTGTGTGTGTGTGTGTGTGTGCGTGTGTGCGTGTGTGTGCGTGTGTGTGTGTGTGTGTGTGTGTGTGTGCGTGTGTGTGTGTGTGTGTGTGTGTGTGTGTGTGTGTGTGTGTGTGTGTGTGTGTGTGTGTGTGTGTGTGCAGACTTTAAGGAGTGCTTCTCTCTGTACGACCGCCAGAGGAACGGCAGGATCCAGGCAGCAGACCTCATGTTGGTCATGAGGTGTTTGGGCTCCAGTCCCACGCCTAATGAAGTACAGCGCCACCTGCTGATCCACAACACAGGTACAGCTCACACACTCCACAGTTTGGGGTTTACACGCACAATAACAAGTACTGATAGTAGGGCTGGTTAGATTTGCGAGTTATGCTTTAAATCAGATGTATTCTGCAAAAATGACATTTCTGTAGTTGTTTCTCTTCTCGTCTGCCCTCTGAAGTTGTATTTGAGTGATTCCTGCACGTTTGAGCAATCTATAAACACTTCTTTTCAAGATGCCATTTTGCGGATCAAACCTGGCTGACACTGTCCATGGTACACGCCCACAGTGATGTACACAATTTGTACTTCAATTTTATTTTCGTAATCACTGATATGTCTAGGATTTAGCAGCGTCACATAGTCATTTTGGTACAAATGAAAAAAAAAAGTGAGTTGTCTGCAGGTGTCCACAGGAGGGGCCACAGCACTTTGTTGTGGTGATGTTCACGGTGACGTCAGCTCCCGCTGGGCGCCACAGTTTTCTAATGCAGAATTCAGAGGCCGTGTTTCTTTTATTAAGTTGTTTTAGATCAATATTGAGAAATACAATGTGCAAATGACAACATAATCATCCACGAGGACACACAGTAGATTAGAACTGTACAGACACAAGCTCAATATGTCTTCTGTTCAAAGTTCACTTTTTAAACAAAAAGACTGAAAGCTGAACTAATACAAGAATCACCTTTACATTTACAAGTACAGGGTCAGCAGAATTTATGCAGAATAAAACAGAATATTTTGTTGTTAGTGGGGTAATTACAGTTGTTAAATGGCTGCCTTTGTGATTTGCTGATTACATCCATTCAAATTGAGATTTTAGTTTAAAAGTGAGAGAAAAAACTTTTTTCATTTTTTTCTCTGTGTATTTGAGTGTCCTGGTTCAGATACACTGTACACGCGGCTCTTCAGGTCAAAATAAATCCACTTCTTGTTGTTGAATCTCATTATAAAACATTTTATTGTTAGAAATACACGTTTGCATGCCAGTTGTTGTTGTTCAGAATTTTCATGAGTTATAACTGCATTCATTATTTTCTGGACACAATTTTAGAACAGTTTTTTTAGACAACAAAGGGCAACTGTCACACTTTGATCCCACAATGCAACAGTCATGTTCAGGCCTCTCTGTGTTAGTGTCCCTTTAGAATTCTCTTATAATCAGATTGAGACAAAGAGGAGCCGTCTGATTTTGTCACAAAGTGCTGCTGAAACAGAGTTTACATCATTATTTTTAAGGTAAGATAAGATAAGATAAGATGCTTTATTGTCTCCCATGAGAGAAATTTGTCTTGGGACAGGGGGTCACATGCTTTAACGAAAATAAAACAAAACAAAACAAAAAAAACAGGACAACACAACACAAAGCACCACACAAACAAATACCACAGAACAAAAACAGATATGAGACCAAGTCTGAGCACGAGTGATGCACCAACAGAACCTTAAATTATTCTTATCAGGCAAGACCTTTGCGTTCTTGTATTCTATTAATTATTGCACATTCCCCTTGAGCCTATGTGCAGTTTTGATTGCACACTTCCTAAGCCTTTTATAATTATTTTTTAACTGCACTATCTGAGTTTAGAATAACGGCTAGTGGCACAAAAGAATGTTTGAATCTGATCAGTTTACAGTTTGGGACCCTGAACCTTCTGCCTGACGACATCAGGGAGGGCGGACGTGTTTTCTCTCCTCTCTTGCCCTTATCTTCCTGCTTTGCCTCTCTGTCTCGTCTAGTCTAGTGTCATATACTTTTGAGAGACTCTCTCCTCTTTGCTCTCCAAAACCTAAATTATCTACACGTTTGCTCACCTCTTTTGATTCAATCCACCTCAAATCGGAGTACAAACTTGGAAAAAATGTATAAGACCATTCAGACTGTATCCAAAGAAGCCAAGGAGGTGAACGATTGCGCTGCAGATGCTGAGAAATGCAGAAACACGCTGGAGGACGATATGGACAAAGAAAAAAACAAACAAAGTGCAAGTGCTGCGCAAACAAATCTCAACAATCTCTGTCAAACTAGATGATCTGGAGACTCGTAGCAGACAAGGAGCAACATATGAATAATGGGCCTGAAAGAAGGAAGGGAATAACTTGATGGGACTACTGGATTATATATTCCACTACATCACAGGTGTCCAAACTTTTTTCATCAAGGGCCACATCTAAACACAGACAAAGCAGAGAGCTGATCGAGGGCCACAGACTGGTGCTGAATACAGTGAATAATTGAAATATGTGCATGTTTAACACGTTAGAAAGAGCTATCAGTCTTCAGTCTTCATGCTAAGATTCTGCTATAGAAAAATGTGACCATTTACCATTTACCATTCTTAAAACCACTAGTCAGGCTGGCGCCACCTAGTGCTTCCACTCAATTTAATTTCTCTGCAGTGACTAGGTCAGGAATCAGAATACACTAGACGGTTTGCAAAAAACCCCAGAAGTGTGAGTTCAGGCACCAACCAATCAGAGAAGAGCCAAATATTCTGTGTTGGCAACAATTTCCAAGATCGAGGATTTAAAGCCAGAACAAAGAAAATGTTTGGTGAATTTTATCAAGGGGAAAGACGTTATTGTCCTTCTTCCTACGGGATTTGGGAAAAGCTTAATATTCCAGTTAGCCCTGTTAGTGGTGCATTACATACGTCACGACCAAACAGCAGCGATTGGTTAAATGATAAAAAAGTACCCGCCTACTGTCGAGTGAACAAATTCTAACACTGCGAGGTCACATGGATTCTTACGAAGTGAAACCGGCTGATGAATCAGGCTATAAAACCACACACTAAATATAAAATATTAGCTTTGTTTACCTTGATAAATTTAAAAAAGTCTTGCAGTAAAATGTTAATTTTTAATTGATGCAAAGTAATTTGGGCCAATTCACCTGGAAGCCTGGGGGTCAAGAAAAAATTGTCTAAGGACTGCATTTAGCCCACGGGCCATAGTTTGGACATGCCTGCACTACATTCTGGACCTGGAAGAGAGCGCAACACCTCCAGAGGTTTACCTGGAGTGATTATAGTTGACTTCTGAGATGGAAAGATAAATAAAAGTCACTGATGGCAGAGAAGGTGAAACTGCTTTTTTGGGATGGGCAGTTTTTCTACAGTCACCATGATTTGTCAGTGGAGGAATGGAGATACAAAGGCTGAATACAAAAAGACCTGAAAAGGTCACAACCAGAGGGAAGGGATGTATATTTAACACCACTGATGAAGAAAGAAATAAAAACCCACTCCCCAACCCCGACCTCCAGTGCACCAACCCTGGACTCATTTACCTGACACACATGTGGAAGAGCTCCATCGACGACGACAATGCCCCGAGCTAAACAAGACCACGTTCAACTGTAAACTATAACCTTTTCCTTTGCCTCTGTATTCTCTTTCTAGTTTATTAAAACTCAGAGACTGTACGTGTTTCAGAGGGAAAGTTAAAAAAAAGAGTTGCCGTTTGGGTTTCACCTTGTTTATTTGGCAAGACTAATTTGATGGTAGTGATAAGAAATGAATAAACAAAACAAATACGAACTTTCATTTGGATATTTGGCTCATACAGGGGAGCAGCAATTTAATTTGATCACACCGACTAATCAATAATGAGGATTTGTTTGAGGTCACACGCAGCCTGCAGCCACTGTCACGTCTGAGGATGAGAGAGCTCTTCTTCTTTGTAATTTTATGTGTTCTACTTTACTGCAGTTGTTTTGTTAAATGTTAAATGTGTCCTTTCGTGTCCTCCCCTTGTGCACAGTTAGTATTCTATAATTAATGTTTTTTTTTTTTTTTTAAATCAGACTCATCAATGAAAAATGGAGTTAAAGTAATTACACGTAATATTAATGGTATCAGCATCTCAAGTAAACATTCTAAAGTTCAAATGTAACATAATGTTACAAGAATCTCACCTCTCTAAAGAAGAATCATCAAAAATTAAGATCAAGATGAGCGGGGCAGATATTTTATTCTGCAGGTGCATCTAAAGGTGTTTGTATTCGAATATCCAAAAAATCATGCTGCAGATGTAAACAGAGATGAACAGAAGGGTTCTCGTGTCTGGTCATCTGCAGAATAAAAGAAAAAAAAACAACAACCCTGTTAAATATAAATATGCCCCAAATACTGCACAGGGTCTGGTCAAGCAGTAACGGAGGGAAACAGGGGCAGATTTTTGACATTCAAATGTCTCTTATTCAGAAACTAGAGGAACTATTGAAATAAGTAAAGTATCAGAATGTAGGAAAGAGTTACACTCCAACAGGGTCAAGTTAAACCTGTGATATTCTTTCAAGTTGTTGACAAAAAATTTAAAAACTCATGTCGGTAACGGAGGGAATGAAATATGCAGCACTTTTTGGGCAATAAATCCAAACAGTGATAACTCTTGGTTCTCACTTCCATATCCTTAACAAACTGGTTTGAATATTTGCTTCATATAGTTTTCTACCATATGGTACAAGATTAGGTTGAAAAACCTCTAACTTTTTGACTCATGAGATTTTTTATGAAGAAAGGTCATGGTAACAGAGGGAAAAGTAACGGAGGGAACATTGTGCAAACAGGTAGAAGGTGCAGGATTTTACATCATTTGTCGCTTTTTTCTTCCGAATACTTTAATATTACTTCAAAATGAAAGGAAACTATTTCTATAAAATATGTCAGTCCTTCCAAGCAAATTTTTATCATTTTAAATAGTTTTTTTATTTTTTTGAATGAATCCTGATGCCAGACAATAGTCCTTTTACTCTAAAAAGCACAATTCATATTTTAGAACTGATTATATTCTGATTACAGATTCTACTGGAGAAAATATCAACATGAATATACAAAATATTTTAAACTCAGATCATGACCTGGTTTCTTTAACTTTTTGTCCAACGTCACCAAATGAGAGTTACAAATGTTGGAGATTTAATAGTTTCTTACAACCAAAGATAATTTACCAAATTAATAACTCAAAGGATAAAACATTTACAAAAGCAACATGTCAGGGTTGGATAATCAGTTATGCC